TGCCCAGGTACCACTGCCATCCACTTGGAAGGGATGTAGGAGATCCTTGATGGAGAGGGAGAACAATGTGGAACAAAACTCAAAATCATTTGGAGGCAAAAAAAAAGAAGGTGGGGACCAGGTTTGCTGGTCCAACAGAGTCTGATGTAACCACTGAGACTATGGCCCCTAGCTGCCCTTCAGGTCTGGAATTGAACCCACAACTGTGGTTTCCAGCCAAACAAAGTACAGGCATGTGAGTTAAACATTTACCTCAAGTAGACACACGCCCTGGAGAGAACAATCATGGGAGAAGGAAGGGCTGCTTATGCACAGGGAGATAGCTCAGGGTGCAGAAGAGTATGGAGGGATGGACACTGGGAGGAGGTAACTATGGGGAAAAAGTGGGAGGGGAGCTGTTGCACTGTAAATTTTGGTCAATGACATGAGACAAAGTATATGTGAACTGCTGTATGAAAAGTGAATTTACTCTGTAAATCTTCACCCAAATCCTAATTAAAAAAAAAAAAGAAAGAAAAGAAAGTAGATTAGCGGTTGTTGAGTGCTGAGGGTGCTGAGAGTGACTTCTAATGAGCACACTGCTCTTTCTGGGGTGACGAAAATGTTCTGGAACTCGATGCTGGTGATGGTTCCGCAACTCTGTGAAAATGCCAAAAGCCATCGACTTGGACTCTTTAATACACGCACAGGTATGAACGGTCCCTCACCCGGGGCTTGGCTTGGAGAGGGCGGGTGGTGGGTGTGTGCTGTCCAGCTGATTCTGACTTATGGCAACCCCACGTGACAGAGAACTGCCCCATAGGGTCTCCTAGGCTGTAATCTTTACAGGAGCGGATGGCCAGGTCTGTTCCATGGAGCCACTGTGGGTTCAAACCACTGACCTTCTGCTTAGCAGTCAAGTGCTTGACCATTGCTCCAGCATGGTAAAGGATGCTATTTGAATCCAAATCTCTCGAAATGGTCCCATGTCCAGAGTATAGTTTAAGGCAGAGCTTCCTAGCTGACCTGCAAGGAAAGGGTTCCATTTGTGCTGGGAGGGGCCCCGCCCCCACCTCTGGGCAGCTGGAGTCTCTGGGTGGGTAGTCACTGACTGTGTGGTATTAACATTTTCTTTTTCTCTACTGGTGGTGGGCACTGGTGGGCCAGCTGCTGCCGGGGTGAGAACGGTGAGGGTGAGTAGAACAAAGCCCCTTCTCTATGTTTCCAGGGCCTGGGCAGGAAGCAGGCACTGGAACCACCACTGGTGTTGAGGCTGGCAGCGTAAGGCTCTGGTAGACCTCTGAGTGTGCTGGGGGCTTCATCCATAGGTGATGGGGGGATATGTGAGGGGAGGGGGGCTGCCAAGCCCGAGCTTTGACAGGACCTTTTATTCCTTTATCGCAGTCTGGATGCCGGCACAGTGACTGGGTTGTGCATGGGCCCTGGCCTGCAGCAGCCCCAGTAATGACCCACCTAATGGTGGGTAAGGAGGCTTTGGCAGAAGGTGCCACCCTTGGACCCAGAACCTCTCCTCCTGTCTCACTGGGGAGTCTGTCCCTGGCACACATGGTGTGCTCTTCATGTTTGCTTACACTCCATACCCCACTGAATTCCAAAATGAATTTGAGATTGAACAAATGTTCATTAGTAATGCCTTTGATTTAATGTCCACCAAGAGACATTACTCCTTCCCTTGGTCCTCAGTCTTGTGCTGGGTGTCACCAAAGATATAAAGAATGAGGTGGAACCTTGAAGTGGAGGGGGGACATGCCTGACAGTGGTGGGGACAAGTTAGTCTAGAGAAGGAAGAGGGAGGGAGGAGGGAGGAGGAGGAAGGAAGAGAGAGAGGTAACGTGTGCCTCAGCTGCCCTGATGCTCAGAGTTGGGGTCCACTGGGTGGTCCGGTACTTGGCTCTATTTTTAATGGCAATCCAGAAGCTGTTTGCAAACAGGTAGGATGTCTTGGTGGGAAGAGCTGGCTAATGAGACAAAAGTTCAAATCCGGCCCAGCCACCTCCTAACTGGGTCCCTCTGGGCAAGTCCTTTACCAGCCCTTAAGCCTCAGTTTACAGTTCTGCATGATGAGGTGGGGGTGGGGATGGGGGTGGGGGGTGTGAGTGTGGAGGTAGCACCGGCCCCAGGGGGGCTGTTGTGAACATACCCTGCGGTAAGTGCACAAGGCTCCCACACTTGGCTATTTGGACACTTGTGGCATAGAGAGACAGCAGGGGGAGCACTTGCTTTTGGGGGGCAGAAAGCACTAGGGAGGCTGGGCCTGGCAGGCTTCTACACACAGCCCTAGCAGACTGCGGGGATGCCTTCATACACAGAGGACCTGGGCTCCCCTGGCCTGGCCAAATCAGTCTGCGGGAAAAGGCCAGGAAATAGCCTGGGCTGTTTGGGAGTTGTCAGGGACCCCTTCTGAGCCCTGCAGTGACACCCAGCGCTCTGTGGGCTCCAGTAATTCTTCAGTTTCAGCTCAGAGGTTTGACCTTATAATAATTATTATTATTATTTTGGTTCGGATGCACTGCTTTGGAGGCACTTCGCTAGAGAACAGGTAGAAATAACGCATTTTACACATAAAAGCCAACATGGAAGTGATTCCCCTCCCCACGCCCCCAGGGAGTGGCCTGGGGTTAATGTGTTCTCAGAACTCTGTTCAGGCCACTCGCTGGCAGGTGGCAGGGTCAGAGGGGTGTCAGAGGGCGGGAGCTGTCACCTCTGTGGTGATGCTGTCCCTGATGCATGCTTAGGAGGTAGGTTGGCCGCTCCCACCCAGGTGGAGGAACAGCCAAGGTGATTCTAGCACTCACAAGGACTCTTACAGGAGCTCTCCCAGCCCTGGGTCCCCTGAGGCTGTTCTGACCCGCAAATGTGGCCTGGTTTGGCCCTCAGAACCCCAGAACTTGTGGGATGACAGAAGCAGCCCAGTTCTTTGAAAATCCCCCAGATGGCAATCCCCCCCTGCCACCTCCCCCCACTCCAGCCAGCAGAGCCAGCTGCCCAGATCAGCTTGGGGCTCTCTTGATGAGCACTGAGTGCAAACGGCTCCAGGCAGCTGGCAAGATGCTAAGTGCGGCATCAATCCTAATTAGGAGGAGGAATTAATAAAGGAGGCACCCCAGCCACACTGTGCGGCCAGGCTTGCCGGTATGAAGGGGTTATTCCAATTTCCAGTGGGAAAGGCGGGGGTCCAAGGGTGCCTCGGGGTGGGGACAGTGGGAGCAGACAGTGCTGCTGGAGCTGGTGGGGTAGCACCCGGGGGCACTGCAGCCCCTGCTCTGTGTTTAACCCAGGTGCTGTGGCAGGTAGTGACGTGGGCACATTCTCGGGAGGAGAGGAGTAGGTGTTCATGAACTGAGCAATTGCACAGGGGGAAAAAAATGATGTTTTTCAAAAGAAAGGAGGCGGGTGTGCTCGTGGGCCCATTGGCTCCATTGTGTGACCGTGTTTCCCAAAGTACTGAACGCACATTCATGTGACCTGGAGACTCCACTTAGCCCTTGCATTAAGCTCCAGTCTGCAATGGGCAAGCCAACCTCCTTTGCAAGAGGATATGGGGGACAGGGGTGGGCAGGGCTCCAGACAGGAACAGGCATGGTCTGAGCAGAGCAGGGAGAAGGCAAGTTCGGCCTCCACGAGCCGCCCCAGCTTTACAAAGCCTCTTTCAGTTTATCCAGATGCGGCCAGAAAAGGGCCATCTTTTTAAGAGCTTCCTACCAACCTCCACTAGGATCCAACCACGCTCAAGGAATCTGCAGGCGGCTGTAACCGCAATAACGCAACAACGAAGGTTACATGTACGGAAGAACTTCCTTAACAACCGAGGGGCTTAGTTAACACACGGAAAGGTTCCACAGAAAGCGAGGCAACTCTGGCCAAGGGTTTTTGAAAAATTCAAGGAACCCTCCGCCAGCTGCCTCGCCCTCCCCCATCCTGTCGCCCATCTGAAAGAGGAGCCCAAGCAGCGGACTTGTCCGCAGCGTGGACGGGACCAGAGGGCCCCTCCACGGCCACCTGTTAGTTCAAGTTCCGCAGCTGGGCGGGCGGGCGCCTTTCCGCGATGGAGGCGTCTGGGCCCCTCCCGGAGGGGCCCGTCCGCACCGTCCGGGAAGTGCCCAGCCTCGACCCCTGGAAGCATTCCATCCTCACAGCATCAACTAACTATTCGGCCTCATGGCACATCTGGGGGTCGCAAAGCCGGGCCTCTGCCACCCCGACGGGCGACCACGCCCCTTCAGGCCGCTCGCGCTAGCTGCGCACCCCAGTCCGGTGCTCAGGTCTGCCGAAACAGCCCTGCCGAGGGTCCAGCACAGATGGCTCTCTGCCAAGGGAAGAGACTCGTGGTGGCCCCTTCCCCTCGCCAAGGCGCAGCAGGAGCGGGCCAGTGGCCGAGTGGAAGAGGAGGTGGCGGAGCGGGACCTCAGCGGTGTCGGGCTCGGTCCACTCGGCTCCCCTAGACCCACTCGGGATCCACCCCCACCCCTACCCCGGCCCCAGGGCTAGAGCGAGCGTTGAGCAGCCCTGGCTCCCCGCCCCCGGCCGGCCCCGCCCAGGATGGCCAGTTCCCATAGCAATCGCACAGACACCGGTTGCCAAGCAACCCCTCCCCCTCCTCTCTCCCCTCCTCGCCCTTCCGTTCCCCCCACCCCAGCCTCCTCCCACCCCCTCGCCAGCCTCCACCTCCCCGGGGGCGCCAGCGCTGCCCCTCGGGATCGCTCCGGTCCTGGCTTCGCGCGCGCGCGCGCGCGCGCGTGAGTTGTCGTGTGTTTCATTGTGTCCCTTGCGAGGGGGTGTGCGTGTGCGAGTGGTGAGTTTGTAGGATCGGTGTGTCGGGGCCCACCGGCCGGGAGGGACCCGGAGCTGGTGCACAGCTGGCCGCAAGGGGACCCGCCCGCCTCACCTGCTCCTTTGTGTCTCGCGCGAAACCGGCGCCGCGCCCACCCCTCGCGGGTCCGCGCCCTGGACGGGGTGTGTGTGCGCGTGTGTGTGTGTTGGGGGGTCCAGGCCGGCCGTACCTTCTATGCAGCACACCCGCCACAGCCCCGAGTGGGTGAGGTCGCCGCGAACGCGGCGGGGCTGGGGGCCGTCGTCCATGGTCAGGTTGGTGCCGTTGCAGATGTGCGCGCTGGAGTAGAGCCAGTAGTCGGTGCCGATGGCGATGGCCATGAGCGAGAAAGCGGCGAAGGCTCCGGCCGTGGTCAGCAGCATCTGCAGCCCGCGGTCGCATCGC